TAGGACCCACAGACCGCAGGTGTGTGTGTGTGTGTGTGTGTGTGTGTGTATGTCCTGTGGTCTGGAGTCCTGTCCAGGGTGGACCCTGCCTTGTGCCTGCTGCTTGCTTGGTCAGGCTCCAGCTCCTCCGTGACCCTGACTTGGAAGAAGTGGTTAGAAACTGGACGAACGATATACTTCCTTATTTCGATCACTACAGTACTTTTCTCTTTTGCTCCTTCATTATAGATCAGTCTTACTTGCCTCTCCTCCTTCTGACCTCCTATGGTTCTGCTGCTTTCCTGTTTTCAACCAAGTTTTAAAGCCCACTGGATCACCCAGCACAGACTCTATGAAACACTCCTGATCTAGTCCTTCACAAGATGGACACACTCATGAGCACACACACAGTATGCCCACAGGCACACAGAGCGACAAATCGGAAACGGCAGTCAACTTAGACTACTGCAGTATGGTGGTTAAAACAACATTGTCTTGGTGAAGTTCTGTGTTCCTGTTTTTAAAAAGCGGCTGGGGTTCTGGGTTCTTCAAATCTTATGTTATGAGCCCTGCTGAGACCCAACAACTCATCCATAAGCATTCTGAGAATGAGCTAACCTCTCCTTCAGAAATAACAAGCACTCCACTGCATGTGCAAGTGAAATGCAAATGCTAATATGCAGACTACGCTATTGAAATGCAGTCCTGCTAGCTTGAATGGGCCCTCAGAAACACTTGATTCACAAGACAGAGGAAAATTAGATATTTTCTCTGACTGTCAAGGAAACACAGAAGTCCTCACCACACCAACACACAACCCAGCATTCAAAAGAGAATCTGATGAGGCACGACCACACCACACTGACCACGCTCCACAGCACACAGCTCTGTGGTGTGTGGAACCACTAATAGGTATTAGCTGCAGTGGGTCTCCAGCGTATGGCTGCAATAAACTGCTAATTATTTTTATTAGCCAAACATAAGCGCTAATCCTTTTATACTGGAAACTCCTTCAACAGAAATCAGCCACAACAATACTGTGGATGCTGGAGAGATACAACGGATCAATCAATAACTGCTGTCTATCTCTACACAGCTCAAAATAGCAAGAGAAGAAATGAAGCCTGAGCAGAAAACCCAATTTTCCATTAAAGGCATGGCTGTAATTCCCCCTGTGCAACACCACAGCGATGAAGAAGCACTCACCTGACGCACAAGCTATTTTCAGTCCCCTGGGGACTGTGTGATTTGGAGTTGGCTAATGTCAAGCCCCTGTACATCTACGGTTCCTTACAAGTAATCTGTTGGCTTCAACAGCTCTTTAGATTAGAAAAAGAAATATCCCACTGGGCTCACACACCTCAGTGCAACATGGCAACACCTATGTGGGCTGGAGATGGTGAACAGCCTCCAGACTGGTATCTGACCCCCTGGGGCAGCAGTCTGGCAACCACTTGCAATAAGACTCATCAGATGACAGACAGGAGCTTTTCAGGCAACGAGACCAGATTTAAAAAAAATAAATCCTAATTTAAGGAAAACTGGCAGAGTAAACACCATGTTAAACTTAAGATACCACAATGTATTGGTGAGAAAACATCTACAAAATCTACACAGAAGGAGGGAAAACCTGTAAGCTCATTGCTGCTCTTGATGAATATCACTGACAGACGGCAGCTGCAGTAACGCTCATGAAAGCATTTCTCATGCCGAGAAAGTATCCCGGAGCCCAGGAAGCAGCTGTGCACTGCTGAGGGGCTGGGCAGTTTCATAACTGAGCCCCAGACGTGCTGGACCATGGGGCCTGAGAGCATCATGCCCACAGCGCGGAGACACCTTTCTTCTTTCCAGAAAGGACCGTTTCTGCTGCTTGCTTTCCCCTGCGTTCCATGGGTGAAAGGACTATGAAGTGGTTGCTTAGCAACTTTTGAAGTTTTTCTAAAGCCTACCCTAACAACAAGGACAAATTACCCTGCGATTATACAGTGCTGCGGTGAATTCTCCTCTCTTTACAGGGTAATATTAAAAAAACAATATCCCACAGTATCCAAAACAACATGTCGGGCAGTAATCACTCCTGAAGAAGCAACCCACAAAGGCACCAAAAAACTAGAAACGAGAAAAGACCGTGGTCTGGAGACAGCACTGGTGTCTCTTCATCATGCAGCCCGGCGTGGGACACTTACAAACGCTGAAGGCAGGAAGAGGACGCCGAGCTCATAAGAACGAACCGTCATCTGGGTATTATTTTTCTCCATTGTACCCCAGGCAGCCTTGGACAGGTTGGCACTGGAAGAAAGAAAGCAGCATGTTAATGAGACACTGGCTCTGAAATCCCAGCAACCCCAGCTCCCACCACCTCCGTGAGCGCTCCGCCTGCTGCGGTCCTCAAGAGAGAAATGGGTCAAACAATACACAAGTGATTTCACAAACGACAGTGCTAATTATACTGGTAATTAATGTGTGGTCAATAAAGCCATTTCCTGAGGTTTGTCATGTGGAGAACTTGCTTTTCCAGGGAGTTTACTTGTGCCGAATGAACGTGACCAGTTTGCCACACCTCATCGGCTGGGCAGGAGCACAGAGCTCCTGTCTCTCTCGGTGACACATCCTGAAGGGCGCTGGAGAACAGTCTGACCAGCGAGACGCCGGGGGGGTCCGGCCGTGCTGCCTCTGGCGCTTGTGTGAGGGAGTCAGTCAGGGCAGGGGAGTGGCAGGGCTGTGAGAAAGCTGAAAGTTTCAGGCCTTCAGGACAACTGACCTGGCCCGTTCAAACAGGTTCCGCAGAATGACTGCGAATCTCTACCAAGGGTAATAACAGCAGTGCTTTAGTTGCATCTTTCCCCGGAGACAAAAAAAAGGCATTTTATGGTGCCGAGGAGCGTACGAGGAATAAAACAAGATGACAAACATTAAATCCGAAAGTTTCTTGCAACTCGGAAAATAAGAAAAGGAAATGTACTGTCATTTCTCAGCTGCCTGCTGCTGTTTTTTCCTGCCGAAAACGTACACATTTCTCACCACCTCCCCAGTGCTCACTTAAGCTCCCTTCAGAGCTTTCCAGCACAGACACGAATAGCGAATTCTGTTTCATCCCAGCGAGCCGCTGTCAGTGCCGGTGCCCATCTCCATAATGAGAGCTCGCTGCTGGAGCTCAACTCCCACCTTCCCCCGAGAGGCATCAGCTCACCTCATTAAAACAAAGGCAACGGCCTCTGCGACAGCCACAATTACAGCCCAAGCTTCAGCAGACCCTGCTCTCAAAGTTTTAACGCCATTACCTCCAGACATGTCACAGACTCAGAAAGGACCTTTTGAGTTTTTACACTCCAATTTTTTTCCTTCACTGCTTACTGAGGGAAAGGTTTCCAGTTCCCTTGAAGTCCTGCAATAATTCTAAGGAAACAAATGTTTAAGGAGCTACTGAGATTGCAGGCACACAAAATAGATCTAAACCTGGAAGATAAAATGCAAGCAGACCACCTCAGCTAAATCTGCTTTTCCACATCACCCATCATTGTCTGTGATCAGACCTACAACTGTGGTGTCATCGGCAAACTTGATGATGGAGTCTGTGTTGTGTTTAGCCTTACAGTCGTGGGTGTAGAGTGAGTAGAGCAATGGACTAAGCACACACCCCTGGGGGACCCCAGTGTTCAGAGTTAGTGTGCCAGAGGTGTGGTTTCCAAGCCTGACAGCCTGAGGTCTGCCTGTCAAAAAGTCCCGAATCCAGCTGCAGAAGGTGGTGTCGAGACCCGGCGCACTGAGTTTCTTGACAAGTTTCTCTGGAATACATGACTGCATGTCACTGCAGCTGGTAGATCACTTGACTGTGTTCGCAAATGCCCGCGAAAGAGAATTTAAAAGTATACAAAAGATATAAAAGAATATAAAAGTGCAAACCCAACCTACAGTGCGGATATGTGGAGCTCTTTGTGCTGACGATCTTCCACTCCTTATCAGTCCAGTTAGAAAACAACGATCAAAAAAGAAAACCCATCACAGGGGGAGAAAATAGCAGAAATTCTACGTGCATGGTGTAAGCGGATGCCATGCGCTGCACAGTAATCACTGGCCGTGCTTTAGGTACAAAGCGAAATTCCTTTTTGGCCGATACCAGCAGGAGTACCACTGCAGTTCCTCCTGCTGCTCTTGCAAGGAACTTGGTAGCTCGCCCTGAGAAAGAGCTCTCTCTGACCTTTCACCCTGCATGGCACTCAGCACTCGCACAGGCTGGAGACAACCGCTAATCAACCTCTGCCACCTCTGGCCAGATGTACAGTGTCCCCGGTCTCTCCAGGGCTGCCGGAGCCTTTGACCGGCTTTCTGCTCAGAAACAATTCATTGTCAGGACTGTGGGCTCAGGGGATGCAGGGTCATACAGCCCTGGCTGAGGATTTCTCCTCGGCAGCAGCTATACAACACTCCCCATATCAGGCACAAAACTCACCGGTCTCGCCTTTGTAAAAACAAACATCAAAACAAAAACATTCCCCTTGCCAGAAAGTAGTGACATTTTGAATCTGATGTCATTTTTTTGGTTTCCTTCATTATATTGAAGCTGATAAGGATTCAAAAATCCAAAGCAAATGCAGTGTCAAATTAAAAGGAATACATTAAAAATGTATTGTGGATTAAAGGCTTAAAATTAATTATGTATAAATGTGTGAGCTGGTAACATTCTATCCTAAGGCAGCTGTAAAGACATTTTAGCAGTTGGATATTAAAAGTAATGGCATGGCTACAAACGTTTCAAGCCACGTTTGTTGTTGTCATTAAAAAGTATGTATCCAGGTTTGTGTGTTATTAGTTATTCCAGTTTTAGACTCTATTTAATTCAACTTATTGAATAAAATAACTCATAAAGGAGAGCTCCTAACAAGAACCTTGTCCTTATGGAGCAAACAGAGGTGGTAGATTAAACAGGTGCTCATAAAGCGAGGTGGTCAGGCTGAACAACTGTGTCACGGAAACTGTGCGCCTTGGAGTCACAACCACGAGGATGATCACAGTCCACACCAGAGGACCACTGGGTACAGATCCACCAGCACACCCCCCAACATTCAGCCATTTCTGCAGTATTAACATGTTCTCCATTGCCCCACATGTGTGCACAACAGCTCTTCGATGCATTACTGTATATACAGCTGTACTGTATTATTAAACCTCTGGAACAGCAGACAAGCACACTGGATAGGCATACAGGGTAAACAGTAAATGAGCTGCTGCATTAATAATACCCCGGACCCTCACTTTTCAGGCTAAATGAACCGTGTGCTGATTTTTTTAAAAGCCAGGGCCAGCAGAGAGAGAGTCTGATTAATAGAACATAAACCAAGACCAACAATAAGCAAAACAAATCCTTAGTCAGCCACCGAGCTCACAGGCTGGAACTGCGCTCCTATAACAAACAACGTGCTCTACCGAATTCACTGATGAGCAGACCTGCGCTGTTTGCTCAGCTCAGGGACTAAAGTGTGTGCCTGTAAATACAACAGAAGGCTAGAAAAGGATGTGCAGGTTCAGCACAAGACCTGTAGAACACATGAATATAATAATTAACATGACTGAATCTTCATGCTGACTTTTTTGTGAATGTAAGGTATTGAAACTTTTTAACACTGACTGACAAAAAAACTTAATCCATTTCTATAAAGTCTTTTAGAAAATTTAGAATCTTCTATTTTTAATTTCAACCTTTTTTCTTTGAGAATAAATAAGTTATAAGTCAAAATAAGTCATACCCGTCATGACATTAATTCCAATACCAATTAATATTACCACTAATTTTAATAGTATTTCAAACAGTGTATTGCCAGTGTCTGTAATTTTAACAACTAAGGTCATTCAAGGACAAAATACCAGCTTAACGCAGAGCTAATATGCTTATTGAACAGTGCAGAAAACTGTACTTTAGGATCTTAACATATGCTTAAAATGCTCGCCATTAATAGATCACCCTTGGAATACACCTCGCACTGACACACACTGCAGAATTCTCAATTGTATAACATCTGTGCATTACACTCTCGGACTCCTCAGCGTCTCTACTGGAGGAGATTTCAGCTCGGAACAAGTCTAAAAAACAGATATGAGTCATCAACTGCCTTATATCGTATTGATTCCTCCACTTTCTCCGTATGTTCACAGATCTCCCGTCACTTCCATTATTGGTGCACGATCTACGAAGCCTTTTGAAGTGATTGCCATTAAAAAGGCTTGTGTAGTTATCATATATATGAATATGATTAAGCACCTGGATGATGTTACAATTACTTATTTGCGTTACACGTACAAATCAGGAACAGCCCATGTTACAGCTGGGTTTGCCGTAGCAGTCTGGAGCAGAGGACCCAGCTCCAGGGGACAGCAGCACCTGCGCAGGAGTCCCTCTGCATGGAAGGGGGAAACAGCCCCACTATGCATCAGATCAGGTGGGGTGAGAAACTGCTTCAGCAGCCAGTTTTAAAGAGGAAATGCAGTATGAAGAATGACGGATGAAATGGCAATTCAGTAAACCTACCAGGCATTTGTTTTCTACATGCCACATCCAGAGCTGGTCATTAAACGGAAAATGGAATTCAAGTTCAGATTTCTACAACTGTAAAAAAACAACAACCTTGTTTGTAAATAGGGGTCAAACTGGTATTTACAATGCAAACCTGCTTTGGAAATATATAATTTTATTCAAAATCCCTCACTCAGATTTGAGCTACAATTTCACAAAGTGGTACCAATTCAGTGAGACAAATGAAAAACAAAAAAGTTCCACAATCCAAAAGGGAACGTTTTGCAAAGTTCTCAAAGATGAGAACAGAACAATCTGATTTCTACTGTTCTGAAACAGTAGCCTACTACTGCTCGACAGTGCTAAAATAATCAGATCTTCTTTATGCTTTTTCCCCACCTCAAGCTGCTGTTTCTAAGCAACAGCTGTGGTCAAGGACTTCAGACAGTCAGCTTCCTCACATGCAGCTGAAGGCTGACAGCACCCTGAGATACGCAGCAGTCTTATCTATGGGTGCAGCTCGCATCTCTTGCGGCCTGTTGTGTTTCTCACACAGGCCCGTCAGAAGAGTGAGGGTACAGTCTGAGGAGAAGATGCTTGTTGCAGGATGTCAACAAGGAAACCACGGCAAGGCCTGTGCTGTGGATAAACTACTTTCCTACAGGGAGCAGAAGGGTCACACACGAATAAGAAAACCCTTCAGGAAATCACTGATGCATGTCATTCATGAACAATGCATCCAGATGCAAGCGTGTGTGGGAGATAGGGTTTCTTGGAAATT